GAGTCCGTGGGAGCAGTGGCCAAACCCAGTGGTTCCCGCCTGGTCAGGGGAAGTTCCCGCTCACCACGCCCTCACCCCAGCCTGCGACCCACCCTCACCCCAGCCCACGACCCGCCCTCACCCCAGCCCACGACCTCCTCCCGGGTGCTCGCCAGGAAAGCAGAGCTTCCCACCAGCCTGGTTCGCTTCCTCTTCTGCAGCCCCTGCGCTCCGTGACCCCTGCTGCTTCCCTTTTCTTCTTTTACTTTTGTGCCTTGGCTGCTGGGACGCTCTGAGCTTCGCTTCAGTTTTATTCCCATAAATAAAGGCACCAACTCTGGGCTGTCTGCCAGGCCTGAACCCACGGCATTGCTCAATTTGTGTGTGGACCGCGACACAATGCTTTTAGGAAATCACTGGCCCTCACCCGCACGTACGAAGCTGGAAGCTCTCTCTGACACAGCAGTCCCCGCCTTTAATCAGGGCGTGGGTCAGAGTGAGGCTCCCTCAACCTTTTCGTAAACATTCCCCAGCGAAGTGGTTAGCTTTTCCTTCTTTTTTTGAAAGTGTTTTTCTTTCCTCCTGTTAGTTTTAAATGCTTCAAGGCTTCATGCCTTTTGTAGTGATGATGAAGAAAAAAAAATTTGACCAGCAGCCCCTTCAGTGCACAGGACGATGCTCAACCAACTGAGCCACTGGCCAGGGCCCATCACATGGGTCTCAACACCTACCTCCAGCTCCTCAGGGCGAGGGCTGCAGGGGACTCTCAGAAATGCAGGGGATTTGATTAGCAAAACAATAACCGCAATAAGTAATTATAAATAAAATAGTCATCTTCATGCCTTAGGAAGTTACTAAATATGCATGCTGAGAAAAGAGAGAGAAAGCACATACATCAATACCCAGGGGAGGACTGCAAGGGGTCCGTACTTGTATTCTCCCCATTTTAGTCAGTGAACATAAAATTTTATATTAGAGTCCTGGCCAGTTTGGCTCAGTGGATGGAGTGTCAGCCTGTGGACTGGAGGGTCCTGGGTTCGATTCCGGTCCAGGGCACATGCCCGGGTTGCGGGCTCCATCCTCAGTAGGGAGTGTGCAGGAGGCAGCCAATCAATGATTCTCTCTCCCTCTCCCTTCCTCTCTGAAATCAATAAAAAGTATATTTTAAAAAAATAAAATTTTATATTAGAAATAAACTTTTCTTTTTACTGGAAAGAACTGGCCTAACATAACCCCAGGCTGCAGATGTATGTATTCATCTGAGGGCGGGGGTGTCTGTGCCCACAGCGTCCTGGGATGAAAGGAGGCTCCGGGGGATCGAGGGGTCCTGGGTGCAAGCTCAGGCCTCCGAGCCCTCCCTCCGCAAGCCCCAACTCCAACGGCTCCCGGGACCAAGGACCGACTCCTCCACCCCACGGAGGCTGGTCCTTCCTGCTCCCTCAAGAGGGCGGCGAGCAGCTGTGGCTCGGGGTTTTCTCGGGACCTGGAGAAGGGAGGCTTGTGATCAGTTCAACCCATGGACAACTATCACTCAGGACCTACCAGGAGCCATAAAAGTAGTATTCAATCAACAAACACTATCTGGGCTGCTAGTGTGTGACAAGCTGGGGACTGGGCACCTAGGACAGATCAGAGAGGTCCCTGCCCCAAGGCCACAGGCAGAGGCCGACACAGAGGTGAGCGGTACAGGCACGTACAGGCACGTGGTGATGCATTTCACGGAAGCCTAGTGGTAACCAGGTCTGGAGCTACCCTGGAGGGCTTCCCAGAGGAGGAGACATCCGGACTGGTTTCTGAAGGGCAATTTTACCAGGTGAAGAAAGACAACAACATTCTAGGCAGAACACAAGAACACAAGTGCAGAGGCTGGAAGCCTGGGGAAAGGGGAAGAGGGCAGGGGGCAGGGGAAGTGGAAGTGTTCCACGGGGTTGGAAGAGAGCAGGCTGCAAAGGTGGACTGGAACTGGAACATCCCAAGGCATGAACTGTACCCTGCGAGCCCTGTGTGTGTGTCTGGGGAGAGGCACCAAAGGGTTTTAACAAGGGGTGCTGCACTCAGGTTTCTGCTTCAGGGACACCCCCCGGATGTGTTAACTCTGGAAGCTGGGAAAGCAGGGGACGGTGGATTTGGGGCAAACAGCAAACCTTTCCCTTCCTGAAACAGCCATGAGAGCAGGTGGGACGCACCTCACCCCCATCCGGGGGACGCTCTGCCTTTGCCCTGATGGCTGGTTCCGGGCTGGTCTGATCACAGCAAAGCTGGTGAGGTCTTTGGTTTGTTTTTTTGTTTGTTTGTTTAAATATATTTTTATTGATTTCAGAGAGGGAGGGAGAGAGATAGAAACATTAATGATGAGAGAGAATCATCGATCGGCTGCCTCCTGCACGCACCCCCACTGGGGATCAAGCTCACAACCTAGGCATGTGCCCTGACCAGAATCGAACCAGAGACCCCTCAGTCTGTAGGCTGATGCTCTATCCACTGAGCCAACCAGCCAGGGCGGAGCTGGTGAGTTCTGCTTGACGTTGTGGGATGCCGTGAGGTCTCGCTCTGGAGCAGATTAGGAAGCGCATGGCCCTGATGGGTGCAGGCAGCCGCCTGGCACCACGAGGGTAGCCAGTGTGAAGGCAGCTGATACAAAGAGGAGGGCAGAGAGAATCAGGGGTGACAGCCCCGCTCCAACTCCCCCTCAAACCTGACCTCCCTCCGGACCTTTCAATCAGGACACGCAAGCCAGTGAATGTCTCCTGTTGTTCAAGTTGGTCTGAGCTGACACTTCTCTGTTACTTGTCACGGAAAGTATCCAATCGCGCATTTCGCAGGAGGTACTGAGGCTGAATTGGGCAACGAGAGGAGGCCAAGGACGACACCCCGCGGGGCAAGGGCGATTTCCCAGGAATCTCTGGTGGGACCCACTGAAACATCAGAACCACCACGTGGCTCAGTGGCCGAGCGTTGACCTATGAACCCGGAGGTCACGATTCGATTCCCAGTCAGGGCACCTGCCCGGGTTGCAGGCTCGATCCCCCCATGTGGGGCGTGCAGGAGGCAGCCGATCAATGATTCTGTCTCATCATTGATGTTTCTCTCTCTTCCTCTCCCTTCCTCTCTGAAATCAACAAATATATTAAATAAATTAAAAACATACACACACGAAGACGGGTCCCACCCCAGAGTTTCTGCTATGGGGGGTCTGGGGTGGAGCCACGAATCTGTGTTTCTAACAAATGACCCGGGGGTGCTGCTCTGGTCCCCGGACCACACTTTGAGAACCACCGCTGGATAGGAATTCAGAGGAGCAAGAGGCCTGGCCGGGCACATCCCTCTCCCGCTAACACAGCACAGTGGACTCCTGGAGACAAACTGGCGGATGGTCGTCTCTCAATAGGTCAACTTCCTCATCGGTGCTTCTCTCACTTCTCCCCGCTGACCAAGAGCGAGGGGCCGGGGCAGGAGCCGCGATCACCCCACTGAGCCTTCCCCAGCGGGGTTCGAGAAGCCCTGGGCAGCGGCAAAGAGGCTTTAGGGATTTGCATTAGGAAACAGGGTAGATTGAAACAGATGGAGCTTTTCAACGAGCATCTTGGAAAAAACAACGAGGCGGGTCGGCCTGAGTTTGGAGGCGCTGGCTTTCCCCGGGACCCCTTCTCAGACCAGGACCCTCCTCAGCTCTCGGAGCTCTGTGTCCCTGCAGACCTTGGCCCACAGACACGCTCCTACGGCTCCTACGTGCCCGACAGAGGTGGGGGGGTTCCGGGGGGGGGGTGGAGGGGGGTCCGGGGGCGGCGGGGGGGCGGGGGACGGGGGTGGTGGGGATGGATAGCAGCCTGCACTCGCTGGCTTTCCTCTCGGGCTGGGGGCCAAAGGAAACTGAAACCTGTGTTTGCCTCCAGCCCCGTCCGTTTAGACTAAACAGCTGTCAGTGCAGCCTGAGGGACAGGGCCCGGCCACACGATCCTGGGGCCACATCACCGCTCCGATCATTCATTCATTCATTCACTCATTTGTGGGTTCCCCAGGCACCTGCCTGGACTGCACTGCAGTCGCCATGGGGACTAGAGCACTGTGCACACAGCTCCATTCAGGAAGCTCGCCCTCCGCCCCGGGCCCTGGGACAGGTCCCTCCACCCTCCTTTGGAGCTGTGCAAAGGAGGACCCAGCTCAACGCCCCCCAGGACAGGGCGCCCCCGAATGTCACGTCTCCTCTCTACCAGATCGACCCTGCAGGACTAAACGCTGACAAGGGTGCTGCGCCCAGCTGGCGTCCGCCTCAATCACACAGAGCCCCACGGGGCAGCTGCCACCTCCGGCCTCACTCCAGGCCCTGCACCTCCTCACACGGTAAGCGGTGGCCAGGCCGCTTCACCGGGGTCAGCCTCCGTTTCCCCGCCGTGACATTTAACGGGATGGAAAGTGCACCCTGGGCCAGGCCCCATGCCGCGTGCTGTGCCTGGATCATCTCACACTCACCATTTGAGGTGGGAATCCTGAAAAAAATGCCTGTGCCCCGTGGGGTTTATTGTGAGGATTAACCAGGATAATGTGTTCCGGGCACTTAGGACAGCCCCCGGCACACAGGAAGTCACTGCTTGAGAAACGTTACAAATTACTGTCAGCATTCGGTGACACCTTATTCCTATTTTGCAGACGGGGAAACTGAGGCTCAAAAGGTGACACAGACGCTAGTGGCAGAGCCGGGATCTGGCCTGGGCCTATACGGGTGCCAAGTCTGGGCTCCGGCCTCTGCCTGATGAAGGAGACCCGGTGACCCCATCGTGCCTTCCCTGGGCCTCAGGGAGGAAGCAGAGTGCGGGAGTCGCGCACAGCCCCTGGGGGGTGACGGCAAGGGCCCCTCCGCCTCCTTCCTTCAACCCTCGCCGGGCCCCTGATCAGCTCACAGGCACCAAGTGAGCTTGCTCGCCCGGAGATAAGGGAGCCGGGATGTCCCCGCCCAGATAACAGCGCCCTGGGGCCACCCACAGGGTCCCCACGTGAAGCTTTACAGCCCACAGGCCGCAGGGCCAAGCGGCAGACCTGGGCCAGCAATGCCACAGCCACGGTCCCCGAGAGACAACTGAGGCACGGCCAAGCCGGCGGTGAGGCGTCCACATCCTGCGACCGCACGTGCTCTGGGCGCGGGTCCCTCCCTCCCGGCCTTTCCCGAAGCCGCAGGGGCACCGGGGACAGGAAGGTGCTCAGTAAGTCCATGTGGGCCGCGCTCCAGGAACTAAAGTAAGTCAGCGCAGCTGGGAG